GATCATGTTTTTTTTTTCTTGGTCTAGATTTTTACGAATTCAGACAGGAATCATGCAATGAAGGTTCTAGAGAAATTAGGTTTAGAAGATTGTTTCGAAGAAATGATTTGTTTCGAGACGATGAATCCGAATCTATTCGGGTCAACCACCCGACCCGATGAATACCCGGTCGTTCTCAAACCTTCGTTGACCGCAATGGACATTTGCATTCGTGTGGCCAACGTTGACCCTCGCCGAACCGTAATATTCTTACTTTTTCTTAAAAACAATTTTTTTTTTTTGAAAATCCATAGCTAAACACGTATACTGATTTCACATTTTTTATTTTTAAAAAATAGGTATTTTTGGATGATAATATCCATAATATTACCGCGGGAAAAGCTGTCGGGCTTCGTACAATCCTGGTAAATTTTTTATAATCTCATTTCACAATCTTAAATGTTTCAGACATTTTTGTATGTAAAAAGTTAAATTTTTTTTAACTATTGGTTTTAAAAAGGTGGGGAGATCGGAGAAGACGAAAGAGTCGGATTACGCTGTAGAGACTGTAACGGAGATAGCTACGGCGGTGCCGGAGATTTGGACGACGGTGAAGAATGGATTTGATATCGGAGGTGAGAGGATCAGAAGGAGCAAGAGTGAGCTGGAGGGTATGGCTTCGATCACAGCCGTTGGTGCGTGACGTGTTAGAGTTGGTGAATCGTGACCGTTGGATCTTTTTCTTTAACGTTTAGTGGTTGGGATTTTGGACAGGTGGCGTCCAATTGTTGATAATGCATGTGAATAAAATAATGCATAGTGCCAGTGGTGGAGATATTCATCCCATGTGGACACCAAAATGTGAATACGCAATTAAATATTTGATTATGTATCATGTCTGGTGACGAATGTTTTTCAATATGAATATATCAATTGTTGATAATATTAATATATATGTCGATTTTTTTTTTTTTTTTGGTTAATTGGTATAATATTTAGAAGATATTATTTAATTTAGTTCAAGTTCAATTGCATATATTTGATTAAAAAAAAATTAGAAGCATATCAATGCTCAAGTTCATAACGGCTTCGATTGGTTACCACGTTTGCAAACGAGGTACCTTTCAACCGTTCGTTTGTTACCAATTAAACGATCGTTTGAACGGGTGGTTGAAACGGTCGTTTGCAACTTCGTTTGCAAACGGACTTTTGATAAAAAGGTCATTTGAATTAGACATGGATATTCGGGTAACCATTGAAGTTTCAGGTCAGGTATCGGAGTCTCCGTTTTAGGAATATAATATCTATCATAGTATTTAAAAATTTGGGTTCGATTTTGGTTATCCAAAAGATTCATACTCGTTCTATTTAAAGATTATTCGAAATATTCATAATTACTGGGTATTTTTTTGCATTTAGTTCGATTACCATATTTTGAACTCGAATTATCCAAATAAATTTTGTAAATTTTATAGCTAATTAAATTGGATTTTTATCCAATATTGACAACAAAAAGCGTAAACTATATAAAAATATCAAATTTTAAATCTAAGTATTTCTTAGGCTA